TATTGGCTAGAGAAAGACAGAGAGAGAAAGTGAGAAATCACCCCCAGAAGGCTGGTCATGCCATAATCCCTTCTCCATTCTCATCTCTGGATTTTGGGCACACATTCCCACACACCCAACATGATTTTCAAGCTGTTGGGTTTGAGACTCAAATCATAGCCATGTGAGAGTCCAGTGCCTTAATAACCACATCACCTACTGGCCTTGCTATGAACAGTTTTATAAGTATATTTGTGAATTTATATATAAATTTATTTTTTATGTATTTATTTTTTCCATAAGTGTGAGAGAGACACAGCACTCTCACAGTGTCTCAATGCCACAATTCAGTCCCAGCTTCTGCCAGCCCCAGATCATGGGCATGCTGTTGCCTACTGTGCACAGGAAGGTCTCCCAATGCAAACCCAGAACCTTACCATATGTGGTTCAGCCTTGCAAGTGTGTCCATTTATTGCTGTGCCACTGTCTGGTCCCTATATATATTTGGGTTGTCGGGAAAATTATGACATATTTTTCTAGGCAAAAATGAGTCATTACATTTTTTTTCTTCTTTTTTTAAAGAATTATTTTATTTAACTTTATTTATTTATTTATTTATTTTAATTTGATCAGAGAGGGACAGAGAGAGAGAGAAAGTGAGAAAGCAAGATACCAGATCCAGGACTCAAATCGTGCTTGGCTGTGTGGGAGTCTAGCTCCCTTAACCACCATGCCCCTGCTGGGCCCCAGCATCATGACTTTTCTAAAGACCGAATATTTCTGCTGCGTGTATAACTACGAGTGAAATGACTGTGTTAAGGGATATGCAGATGTGTATTTCTAGTATTCAAAGTTTTTCACATTAATAGTGTCAATTCATATTCCCACTGGCTATGTATGAGAATTATGGTCTCTCCAAATGTCTGCAACACTTCACACTGTCTGATGGGGATATTCCCCTAATTTCTCTAGTGACCAATAATATTGAATATTTTTCCATGTGTTTATGGGCTATTTGGGTACCCTCTATTTCTGTAAGAGGTCAGATAATAAATACAGGCACTCCTTGGTTTATACAATTTCACTTTACTCAGTGCTTTGTGAAGCTAGGACTACCTGTATTTTAGGTTTTCCAGGATGTACACAGTCTTTGTTACACTTAGAGGGTCTTTAAAAAGTTCATGGAATATGGGTATTATGAAAAAACTATGCATAGATTTCACATTTATTTTTAACATTTATTTACTTGTTCCATGAGGCAGAGAGTCATTCCCAGGTGTCCTCACACTTTGATTTACCCCAGTCTCAGCAGGTCTGGATCACAGGTACATGTACTTAGTGTGCTCAGCGAAAGCTCTAGACATGACCCAGGGCCTTTCACATGTGGATCCAGTTGTGCCATAACCTGGCATTTAAAGCTTTTTCTTTTTTTCTTTTTTTGCATCAAAATAACTAAAACTTGAATTTTTCCTTGAACCTTGTGAAGTACATTGAATTCTGTTCTGTTTTCTTCCCTTCTCTTCCATTACCTTGCCTTTTTTCCCCCTTTTTTTCTTCTCAACCCTTTAAAAACATAGAAACAATTCTTAGCTCAGGGTCTGTACAAAAACAGTTGTTAAAAATTACTTAGATTGGGCCAGCTCAGTGGCACATGGTTATGTGCAGCGTAAGTGAAGTTGGAACACATAGAGGGTCACAGGTGTGGTTCCTAATTGACCTGTGCACTTTGGGCATGCGTGCTCATGATCCAGGCTAGCTGGAGGTCTGTGTAGGTAATTCTGACATAAGACTCTGTTGTGTGTGCTTGTCTCTCTCTTTGTGCCTCTCATTCTCATGAAAGATATAAACTGTTTTTAAAAAGCTCACAGGTATAGGGACCAGCAGTTAGCGTAATGGCTATGTCGCTGGACTCCCATGTAGTCGACTGCGGGTCAAGTCCCGGACCCGGCGGCTTAAACTCACACCAGGTGCGGGTGCGTGCCCCAGATCCCAAGAAGAGAATGGAGAACGGATTGCAGCGTGGCCATCCCCCTGGGGGCGGGGCGATTTCTCACTTTCTGCCTCTCTGTCTCTCTCTGTCTTTCTGGCGAGCGCACGTGCCCTATAGCGAAAAACTCTCAAAAAGAAAAAATAAAAGCTAACAGGTATATTAACATTTTAAAGAGTTCATTTGGATCATTTGGATAGTCATCAGTTTCATAAATTAGGCAGTACCAGCACTCCACTGAACATTATAACTAATGTAAATATCTTCCTGCTCTGTAATTCCCACACAAAACAGTTGTACTCAAGTACAAAAAAGATAACTCACTTTCATCTCCACATATTTTCTACAGAGATAACTGTAAATTTGGTGACAAAAAAAGCAATGATGCACATTTCCATTTTAGCTGCTCTTGCTTGTGTTGTATTATCGATCTCTCTTCCTTTGAATTGATGGATTTTGAGATTGTCATAAGGGAAGATAGGGTTCTTTTAGAGCATTAATTGCCAAAGTATTGCAAGAGTGTTGAGCATAATAGCAGAATGAGTGTGGTTTACTCCCTGTTTGTGTTCCTTTCCTGGAACTTGGCTTGTTTTTGTAGAATGTGGCATTTTGACTAAGTATTTCTAATCCTTGGTATTCCTCTTCAAAAGACATAGACAAACATGGAATTTAGATCTCCCAAGAGACCTTAGAGGGCATTTAGGCTACTTTCTCAATGTTTTTAGTGATGATCCAAAGCCTTGAGAAATTGGGTTTAGTCATGTGGTTACTAGAACTCATTTTCGAACTCATTTATTCTTATTTCTTGGTGCATGATGCTACTTGTGATAGGCAGCCTTTTAAAATGACCCTGGTATTCACACTCTTATGTAATCCTTTCCCTTTGAGGGTGTACTAGACCTAGAGGCTCACTTCTAGTACAATATGGCCAAGTGGCATGCTGCCACTGTTGAGATTAGGTTATAAGAGACTGTGCCTTACGCTGGCACTCTCTTGTTCACTCACTTTGATAAAGCCATGCTCTGAACTGACTTGTAGAAAGACACACCTATCGAAGAAATGAGGGGGACCTCTGGCCAACTGCCAGTGAGAAACAGAAGTTTTAAATCTAATAACTGAGAACTGAGTCCTGTCAACAACAACTCAGTGAGATTGAAAATGGATCCTATTCTTGTTGAACCTTGAGATGACTGTAGCCCTGCCTAACACCTTGATTGTCACCTGTGAGAGACCCTGAGTTGGAGGAACTAGCTAAGGAACACCTTGTTCATGAATCTTAGAAATTGTGAGATAAAAATGTTTTACTTTAAATTGCTAAGTTTTGGAATAATTTCAGTAAATTTTAATTTAAAAAGTTCATCTTAATGTTTTGTGAATATAACTTCAGTCTTTTATAGCTTTACGTTTATTTGAGGGCATATAATTTTTAACTTAAAAGTTAAATATTAACCATTTAACTATGAATCTCACATTTATTCTTAATTATCATTTTGTTTTATTTTTTCTTTT